GAGATCGCAGCTTCATAAATAGTTGCGGACGGCAAAGGAAACTCTTTCATCGTGGAAAAAATCGTAAAAAATTGTTATGCTTTTTGTTATTATAATAATGTTATTTAAGCATTTTGGCATTACTTAGTATTATTGACTCATTGGGCAGCTTGTCTTGTAGATTTTCTTAAGGTTCAATTTCACGCCATGCATAATCTGGACATTTAGACATAGCTGCCATTTGGCTGTTTACATTAAGTATTTCCATTCTAAGACTTTCTTAGGTTTAAGAGACACTGTTAAGTCTAAAATTAACATTAATTTTAAAAACGAAAAATAGTGAATGATTATGACACAGAATGCTACAGTAAAAAAAATCAAGAAATCATTATAGCCCAGTGTATATGTGAGGGTACATAAACGCTTTCGGTACAACTACTTTTGCAGTCTTCAGCTTTTTTAAAAGAGAGCTCATGTATGGAACTTGTGTCTATGCAAATCATTTATGTCATATGACACTTGTGGCAAAGCCCGAAAGAGATAGCGCAAAGCACAGATATAAGCTCATTGAATGTATGCAAGTTTAATAAGATGTTCGATTGAGGTACCCTGTAAAATAATAAAAAACTATAGAAGGTTTACAATCCATATTACATCTACAGTTCAAAAAATCTTGAGGACATGTACAGGACATGTACAGGTAAGCAAACGATTGAACGAGTACCTGTCTAAGAGCCCCTGTCAACCATTTTCCACTACAGTACAGTAGTTTGTTTACAGCACCAGCCGTGGATCTTGAGCTCACCATACTACTCTATGTGTGCTGCAAGTAATCTTGAATACCTTGGAGATTGCTCTTCTCCAAAAAATTTTGTTAAATGTTTGAGACAGAGAAGCTCCAGTTGAATGAAATAGTATAATTTGTTTTCCTTAGAGTCCATGAAATGTCCTGCTTCACTTTCTGTTTTTTCTCTTTTCCGTGTGTTGTTGTTTTCTCTGACTGTTAGCCATTGTGGATATCCCAGAGTACTCCGCATTGAGTGAAGCAATAGTGAAACTGAGGGGGGAGGGGATGGGGAAAATTGTAAATAACCCCCAAAGCAATTAAGTTAAGGTAGAAACCAGCCAATTTAACCTCTAAACACGCGCGGTAACCCCTATTTTTGTCTTACCAAATGAAAGTAATTAGCCTACTCAGCAAACCATCAATTTTTGGTCCGGGGGAAATGTTGTTTACACTATTTTTTAGGCAAACGCGTGCAGAGGGGTAACTGCTGATAACTTCCCAGTTGTGCTGATATTTCAAAAAAAGACGTATAAAGAGCAGTTGTTATGTTATCATTTGTTGCTTATTTTGAAACCTTGTTACAATTATCATTGCATTTGTGCCAGTTCACGTGTACACTCCAAAAAATGCCTATTCAGCGTTTTTCTCCTTATTGAAGTGCAGTTATCTCTGAAAACTGTGTGGTTACCCCCAGTTTTCCTTTTGGATTTCAATTCATTATCTGGGAAAAAATACTTCCCATTAGTGGGCACCGTCCTTAAGAGCGAAGTTTTCTGATAGAAACACTTATTTTCATGGTTTCAATTAGTCTTCCCATCACAAAGTGTTCACAACAAGGTCATGAATATTCAACGTTTTTCGGAATATAATATGTTGAAATCTTCAAAATGTGGACCTCACGCCAGCAAAATGAAGTACTGATTATTGTACAGGCTAAGAAGTACCCAGAAGTACCCACATTTTGAAGACTTTTTTATCGACCAAAGATGGCTGAAATTTCAAATCTTTTATCACATTTCAACGCCATGTGTGATAATATATGGGTAAAGTCTGCTGAAGGCTACAATCTGTTGGGCGCTTTCGAGAGCATGTTATGCCGAAGCGATCACTTTGTATTTTCAAAGTGGTTATTTTTAAAAGGAATTTGACTACAATGATTTTAATTCGAAGAAGGAGCAGTGAATAATGCCACACTTTGCATCACGGGGGCGGCTGTAGTGACAACTATTACTAGTATTATCACTGCGTACGTGACATATCATGATCAGTAATCTTCAGCACGCGCAAGATGAACATCGCAGCGCTCGATGTGGATGGTTTCCAAACATGTTTCGGTTCAGCAGCTTCTACTTTTGAGATTATCGAGTTGACTTATATTCACTATGCTTTAAAGGAGAATTTCTGCGTTACTTTGACATCTCTGGTTAGCTCAGTTGGGAGAGTGCCGGTCTGCTGAGCGGGAGGTCGTGGGTGCAAATCAAACCCCGGCCGGACCAACACTTAGGGTCTTTAAATAACTAAGAAGAAAGTGCTGCCTTTGTAATGACATCTGCAAATGGTTAGACTTTCTAGTCTTCTCGGATAAGGACGAAAAATCGTAGGTCCCGACTCACAGCACTTTCACTGACCTGTTCTTGTGGGACGTAAAAGAACCCACACTACTGTTCGAAAAGACTAGGGGACGTAGACCCCGGTGGTGTGGCCAACCTTTACGGATTATGGGATTGGGTAGGGATGGCACCTTGCATCGGACCTATGAGTCCCATTCGTGCCCATTCCCTCTGGGCAGGCCTGTGTCCAGAAAAGCTTGTAAAACTAAACTAAACTAATACATGTGTTTGACTGATCTGTCGAGAACTACTTGTGCGCTAGGTCGCACTGTACACACAAAGTATAAGACTTGGCAACTGATAAGCTTCGCTAGATTCACGAGGGGAACCCAGGCCTGAGGAGAACCAAAACCATGAATGATCTTAAAAGTGGTTCCAACAAAACAGCTGCTGCACTGTGAAGCTAATTAGCGAAGGAGGATTTATTACAGCGTCGCACTCACAGGAGCTCAGTTTACAATGGCACTTACAAATAAAATTTAACCTATCAGTGCGACAAACAATTCTCTGAAGCACAATGCTACCAATACCAGTCAATACTGGTACTGACTCAAGCAATCTTCAAGGAAATTTCCTGGCCAGAATACTGATCTGTTCTTTTGAATAAATAAAGTTTCTGATGTTTCTTTTTCAAAATAAATTCAGAGCAGGCTTGTTTACGTTGTGCTGGCTTATATGCTGCGTGGCACCTTTCTTTAGGTTCCTATCACAATGAAACACACCATTATTTTTATTTGCAAATTTTTATGGGCGATACCGTATGTGTTGACTGTTTTTATGTTCTAATAGTCTTTTAATTCAGATAAGAACAGGTGTAGCCGGAATTTGAGACGATTACTTTGAGTTGTTTTTACTCTCTCAGGGGGGAAATGAGTCGAAGTAATCGTCTGAAATCCAAGCTAGAAAAGGGGGAAAAGGCAATAGGAGTTTGGAATGAACAGAGTATGGAAAATTGACGAAGTCACAATTTGTTTACAAATAAGTTTATTATGGGATATCATTTACTGACAATATTACTACATCTAGTGTTATTTAATTGAAAAATTGGTAAAAATATTGTATAACTAACAAAATGCAGCTACTGCCTATGCAAAATATGGCTATTATATATAATTTTTGTTTGTATAGTGGCAAGAAAATTGTGTTAATCAGAACGATAATTGTTATTCGTTGTGAAACAATGATGTAGCAGGATAATAAATATGTAACAGAGAAACTAAGAGTCCCATTCAACTGTGTTTGCATGAAGATAACAATAACTTTAAAAAATAATTAGATCCCTTTGTGCTATTGCTTTTACAATACGTAGCTGTTACATTTTTTTCTTTTTTGTTTGCATGTTCGCAGAAAACTGGTTTAATTAGAAAGATAATTAATTGTTTTTTCTAAAATGGCGTAATAGGCTATAACTAACTCAGTGTTCCACTCAATTGTCTTTGCAAGAAGATAACAATAACTTTAAAAAACTAATTAATTGGCCCTGTGCTACAGTGCAACATGTAGCTGGAAACTGAGTGCTTCACTCATCTGCCTTTGCAAGGAGATAACCTACAATAACTTTAAAAAATATTTCATTGAATGTCTTTGTGCTACTGCTCATGAAATATGTAGCTGTTATATTCATATATAATACTTTCATACGGCCTGCAAAAAACCGTTTTAATCACAAAGGTCATTAATCATTGTTTGTTGAACAACAATGATATGTTAATATGGTATATTAAGACTGAAATTAATCAGTTTATGTGAAAAAAATAATAAGGGTTCCTGATGCAGTCACAGATAGATTGGAAATTTTAACTGGCTGTTGGGCATTCATCTTGTCTACGATGACCTGGCGTTTGGAGCCATCCCCTTTCTGGTGCATGGCCTTGACAATTTTGCCTTCTTGTTTGGAGGTTTGGACTTTGACATCAAAGTACAGATTTGAGCTTGATTGGCTTTGTTTCACTCGCATCACACGCTGGATGTACCCAATAACAACTGTGGATGAAGAAAGGGATGAATCAATTAAAAAAAATAACAGAGTAAACTGTTACTGTTCTATTATTGAAATCAAATAGTGTCTTGTTGCATTTTACAAGAAGTTCATTGAGTATTTGAGATAAATTATTATTAATTGTACTTGTTGTTTAAGTATAGTGTTAGGGTTTACTGTTTGTTGACTTGAGGTTGTGTCAATAGTATTCTTGGTCATTGTGTAGCTTTTTGAAAGTTACTGATTCATAATGAAGACTTTCACTCATATTCCATAATGTTGGATAAACAGGAAACGCGAGGTTCCATGTAGTGATTCAGTTTGCTTTACACAGCTTCAATCACAACATTTTCAGTGTTGATAATACATTTTTTAAAACCATAAGAAAAGATCTGTTTAGAAGTTCGAATTTTTTTGGCTATATCTAACAAGATATTACAATTGATGGTACAAAATAATAATATAGAGGGAGTAACTTACTTGCTGTTGAGGTTGAAGAGGGAGATGCTGTAGATGAGGGCATTCTATATTTGACCCTCTTTGATGGCGGTGGGGTGAAATTCGATATTATAATTATCTACAAGAACAAAGATATAATCAATTGTAATGATGGACTATGTCATTTTGAAACTTTGAAAGAGTAACT